GCGGATCTGGGATCCTCCTCGGGGTCTGCAGACGGCGGAAGCGGCCGCTCTCCAGCTCCAGCTCCAGCCCGCGTCCCGGACGTCTTGTGCCGTTTGAAGGGCAACACTGGGGGGGGGGGATCCGAGGGATGTAGCCTGCCTGGCCCCGAAAAAAACCCGCCGCCAGCATCCCTCTGCCGCCCCTTTTTTGGAAGGAAAGCGCTGACATGCCGATGGTTTCATCCGGGAGGCGACGGGAGAATAAAGTTTACTGCCTTCCTGTTTGACATAGAGGATTTTCTCACTCTGAGGCTGTGGACTGGGCGACATCTACGTCTGCAGACGGGCTTTTAATTCTGGAGAGCCGCCACAATCCTTTGCACACACGCGAACACCAAAAAAAAAAAAAAAAAAACCCTAACAGGTAAAGGTGATGATTAATCCACTGCGCGCTCGCGTTACGCACTGGCTGCAGGTCCATGGATGGAATATGCGTTTGTTCATGTGTTTTATTTGTTAGATTTCTGACGCTGGTTTCATTTGAAAGTGTGCACATGAGAGCTGCTATTGACGAGGTGGTCATAAATGTGTGTTTTGACGTTAAGATCTGGCTTAGAACGATCAAGAATATCCAGTCTGCCAGTTACTCATTTCTGGAACCCTTCACAGTGTCAGGAACAGCGCGAATGAATCACACACTCGCGGGTTCTCTGATATTTTCCTCCCTCATATCTCTCAATCATTTACAAAAACACAAGCAGACACTGTCACGTCAGAGTCTGAGATCATATCTAATGCTAAACACACCTCACTTAAAATGACCTTCACGCTCTTTTCAGAATTGTCCTTGGTTGTCCTGGGATTTGGTGAGGCCAAATGCTGTTCTGCTCTCCTTTTTGAGGTAGCCCTTATATCTGTCACAGTATGTACATGTTGTAAATACACCATATAAAACTGGACATTGAGGTCTGTGTTTATAAAGGACTTAACCAGGCGTCAAAAGGCATATCCTGCAGACCTGTCATATCCAGTTTATCGGGTATATTTGCATTAGATGGATCATTTGAAGCTGTTTCAGGCATATGGCTTGTGTTATTAATGATTTGTGATACATATAAAACAAACTATTCTATCAAAAGCACCATACATGATGTACATGCTGTGAGCTGGGGGTGTATGAGCATGTATCATTCGCACTGGCAACTCTGAAGTCAAAAACAATGTTTAGTTCATTCAAAAAGTCGCCATTTTTAATGAAGTTTCCTTTCTTTTTGGTTGAACAGCAGCCACTTCTGCGATTCTGCTGCTGCAGGAAGGAAACCATGACGAAATAAGCAACATTTACAAGACAGTGTCCACAATTTCATGCAGTTGTTGCAAATTTGATTGGACTTGTTTTCCTCTAATGGGCTTTGGTCGCTGAATTTGAATCGACATGAACGTTATTGAAATACTTGACGATACGCTCTTATATGCATCAGTCAGTCTCATTTCAATAACGGGATGTTTGCTTTGGGCCGTAAACTGGTGTGGTGGTTAACGCCTCTCCCAACAACAAGGTTCCTGTTTTGAGTCTTGGCAGGGGACTTCCTGTCCAGCATCGCCCAACATCACCCATAACATGCATGCTGCATTAATTGGTGATTCTAAATATACCCTACCAGTGAGCCTGAGCATGCCCAGTTGTTTGTCCCTTCGCCATATTTCAACCATGGTGATGGTGCACACAATGTACAGATTCTCTCTGGTCATCTGAATGATTTTGATTTCAATTAAGTCATTATGACTTTGAAGTTTGTATATATATATTTGTTTGTATATGTATGTATATGTTAAACTATATGTTGTTAGCATGTTTGCATGTAAGTATATAAACAAAGTGCTCTTGACATGTTGCTGCCTCAGATATGAGTTGATCAGGAAGATGGATACAGAGGAGTTCTAGGCGCTGGCATTAGGACCTGGAGCACTTTGCAGCTGGAACTGCTGTAAATGGCTGCCACGGCTGTCGTCTCTGCCCAAGTCATCGTTAGTTTCCCTGTCACAGGGGTCTAAGGCTTTAGAGGCCCTCATCACCGACATTCTGTTTGGCTTTTATTTCCATCCAAATCCTAGAATCATTGAATGGCTGCCATGAGGAGCCTGCAACATAAGATAAGAGATAATTGAGGCTGAGGATACAGTTGATTTCTCTTGCCCCTAATTACTAAAGCAAATTGGCTTCTTATCATTTGTCTGATTCAGCCATCAGGAACTATCTGTGTCGTCAATTAACTCCACTGAAGGAGCCAAGAAGGCTGGTGAGGGCTTGCTGTTTGTGCTACACTGCCTCCCCCCCTGGCTCTCTCAGCTTTTACACCCTCAGGAAGGAGCATGTAAACACTGATGCATTTTGTCATTATCAAACCGTTTCACTCTTTTCTCAGCAAACGTGAGGGGCAGAGCGAGTGGTGTTCTGCTGTCCGGCTCCTGCTGCTCACACTTAAACATAATGGACATCTCAACTGCTCACATTCCTGAATACTACCGTGCAACAGCCCGTTCATGGAAGTGAACGTGCATTGCCTCCCATTCCCCCCTTGTGTTGGTCTGTTTCGTTTTCCTGAGCTCACGCACGCACGTGCCCAGTGACTGCGATCCATTTCGGTTTGTTGTGACGGTAGATGTTTGAAACGCGGCGTGCTGACGTCACTGATGGCAACTGTGAGGTGGTTGGCTGAGGGAGACAATGCTGAACATGTCACGGGGGACTGTTGAGTGTTACGAGGGAAGACAGGGGAGAAGGGGAATGGAAAGATTTGAAGTCAGGCACAGACGAGTTATGGCCCTCTCTGTCTTAAAGGTAAACTGCAGGATGGGAAAAACTAAACCGGCTCGGTGAGTGATTCCATTTAGAGAAGGTGGATAACACGGAGCGATGGGACTCAGGGAAGAAGTGTGCAGAGGAAGGATTAGAGAAATGGAGTGATAAGAGAGCCAGAGAAGAGGGATTTGAGCTTGGATAAATAGACAGAGCCGGAGGGAGGACTGAGAGGATCAGTTTAGAGCCATTCTGCAAAGAGACACAGTGTTGTCACTGAAGGGGCTGTCTCTGTCCGCTCTCCCACCCTCTCCCCCTTTCGCTCGTTTTGCACCCACCCACTCCCACGTGTGCCCACTCACCCTCCTCTCTCCCCTCTGAATGCCATACGTGGACCTCAGAGATACATTATACCCAGCCAGGTGATTGGTGGACGTGAAGACCAGCATGTTTCCGAGCACATGTGGAATACAGAGGCCGGCCTCATCTCAGCATGGAAGCCATGGCCTCAGCCTGCTCAAGGTCATGTGAATAATCATAGGAGCTGTTGTTTCTGTGTCCCCAAGCAGGACGCCCTCACTCCCTGCTGACCCAAGCTCTGTGGATAATGCATCGTTTGCACAGGCTTGCATGGGTTTGTCAGACTCACCAAGAATGTTGAACGACTCGGACATATTTAGTCCTTTTCTCAAGTTATAGTCCTCCAAGTTATGAGTCTCCATTGACCCAAAGCATCTATACCAGGCTGTCTCAGAATCTTCATTTTCATGCTAAGTTGTATCTAAATGCACAGAAATAGTCCCCGGTTGGTCATGACACTGTTTTGGTTTGTCATTTGAATTTATCCAACTGGAGTTCTGGTTTTGGTTTCTGTGGTAACTAAATGTTTAGTGGCTACAGTTACTCTGTGTTTTTTTCATATTTAGCCCCAGTTGAAAAAAACATGGATTCCTTGTTAAACATAAATAAATAAACAAGTCGAATCAGAATGCAGAGATAAGCAAAGATTACTGAAAAATACATGGCCATTTGTGCTGTGTCCTTCAGCCACAGCTTACAGGAGCATGTTGGTGGGCATGCCTTGGTCCATCCACTCGTCCATTTCCTATATCTGCTTGTTCCCAGTAGGATCTTGGGGGATGAGAGATGCAGTACATTCCAGACAGGTCACAGAGCACACAGAAAAAAAGACAGACAGACGTGCACACTCACTAGAGAGTTACAAATTAACCTAAAATGCATGTTTTTTGGAATGCGGAAGGAAGGCGGAGTACCAGGAGGGAGCACAGGGAAAACAGGAGTTTGCAGATTTTCCCCTAAACGTACGTTTAGATAGGCTCTTTAAAGATTTCTATTTACAAATCGTTGAGTTTAAACTAGCTTTGTATTTCCAACCTCCCTCCCTGCTCTGTGTGTCTCCTGAATGTGTCGCCTGCTTTCTCGGTTGAGTATCTTTTATTCTGTGCTGCTGATTTCTGCTGTGGTGGACCATACAGGCAGCTCTGGTGTGGCTGATGTTTGGCAGGTGTTCTGAGCTGATATGAACTCACTGAGCTGTTACGGGAGGAGCAGCATACAGGCTTAGATACAACTAAAGAGGACGATGAATTGTTTTCTCCAATCAAAACGAGGTTAGGACAGTCGCAGGACACTTTTCTTCTAGTGCCTTTTTTTTTGCTTTTCTTGCTGTTTGTTACAAAACGTGTTCTTTCATAGCTTTTAATCAATCCATTCAGCTGTGCTCCGCTTTTTCCAAGCCCATGAGGATGCAGATGATTGAACAGTGAGGACTGAACTCCCAATTGTCCGGCTGGGTCAGTAGTTCTCATGATCTGATGAGTCTTTCACTTATCAGCCGAAGTGATTTGTCATCTGCTGAAGCGGTTCCAGTTTTAAATCCTCCCACATGTCTTACAGTCCCTCTTTCAAATGTACTTGCTCTTTCAAATTAAATCTGTCTGTGTGTTGGTTAAACAGTGTTTGTGTACTGAGCAGAGTCAAACGTTCTTAACAAAGGGTACCTCATACATAATGGAACACCTTCTTTTCTCTTTTGTTGTCACAGAAATTACAAAAATGGATCAAGATAATTCAAATCAAGGGCAGACACAAGAAAAAGTCCCAGCCAGCGAAGTAGAGGCTTTAACAGCAACTTCAGCTCCAGCTTCAAGCACCGCGGCTCCTGCCACCGAACCCACGACCGGCCAACATCCCCACAGGCCTCGGCGGCCCCAGAGGAGTGCCCGGGTGGAGGGCTCTGTGGACATCTCCGAACCCAAAACGGAACCGGCTCCGGTCACCGACCAGGAGGAGAGCGCTCCCGATGGCAACGCGCCGAGTCAGCCCAAACCCAGCCGCCCTGCAGCAGTCAAACCTGCGGGGGAGCGCTCAGGGCCCAGCATCAGGGCCCGTCCCAAGGGCCCCGGCCACCACCCGGTCAGGGCCGCCTCCGTCCCCCAGCCGCCCTCCAGCAGGCCCCTGCCCCCCCACCTCAACCCTCATGGGCAGAGAGCCCTCTCTGTGGCAGGCACTGCTGACACTCAGCCTCAGACGGTGGAAGACTTCAGGTAGGTTTCTGCGTTTGAGCCCAGACAGTAGCAGCTGAGAAGGGGATAGTGTATTTACTCAAGAAAAATTATTTACCATGCCAGTTTACAAAATTGCATTTATTTTCTCCCATGATTACAGAATACTGGCAGAATATACAAAAACCCATTCATGTATTTCACAATTATCTAACAGTTTTACCTAAAATCCCTTCTTTTTTTGGGGTGACCTACTAAAAATGTGTCCTTGGGGTTAAATACTCATTGGATCTAATTTGATTTGTAGTTCTTAGGTCTACTGTTCGTTAAAAATAGAGGAATGATGGGATTCTTTAGATTTGTGCCACATTGCAGTGGCCATTTTTCAAAGCGCTGACAGGGAAAAGAGTTGAGAGAAGCAGAACTGAGACTTAAAGGAAAAATACATTACAAATACATTTTTATGCTACGTCAGCCAAAAGTGCATCTTACATTAATTCAAACTGTGAGAAGATTTATCAGAAATTAAATTAAGATGAATGGAAACCTCCAAAGAAAATGACCACTTACTTAGTTGGAGGTTTAAGCCTTTGATGGTGGTTGAAAGTAATTTTTTTCCTTTTCTTAAAGTTTTTGATAGAAAATTGAAATTGAAATCTTTTTTTTGTCACATGCTGCTCAGTTTCTGCCATCCTGTACACATCCAAACTGTTCCCTTAAGGGAGCCACTGCCCGCTGCCCCCTGAACATAGAGACAGATATGTGTGCCTATATACTAAGATTTGTTGCCAGATATTTATTTTTAGAAAAGCTTTGAAAAAAGGGTCTGAAAAGTCCCAAAATCTGCTGACAACGATCCCAGTGGAGTTGAGCTGCAGATGCTCACCGTTGGAGTAACCAGGATAGCAACTGTGGAAATAAACCGTCCATGTACCTTCCATCCATCCATCCATTATCGTTACCGCTTATTCCCTAATGAGGTCGCGGGGAGAACTGGAGCCTATCCCAGTGGTCAATGGGCGAGAGGCGGGGTACACCCTGGACAGTCCATCGCAGGGCCACATTTACCTAAAGTCTTAGCATTAACGATGCAGCCCAACTTAAAAATAGATTGTCGCAGATCAGGGAGATAAACTGAAAGGAGGGGATAAAATATGCAGCATGATGTTAAGAAAAGGGGTTCTGCTCGCATTCATTCTCACTTTGACACTCTACATAACGCGCTCCTTTAACAGGGTGCACCTTATCACCTGGAACGTCGGCTCGGCCACGCCGCCGGATGACATCACGTCTCTGCTGGGGCTGAATGTGGGCGATGGAAACACAGACATGTACATCATCGGGTGAGTGTTTTCAGGCCCCGCAGCAAAACTGTAGACACTGTCAATAATGAACAGTTTCAAATTCAGTGCCCCCCCCTGACATAGGGAGGCACATTTTATTCATCCACCTTTATGAGACTGAAATCTCTCTTTGGCTGCCTCATACATGTCTCCTGCTGACCCTTTTGCTCTTTTGCTGTGTGCCATTTTGTTTTCAAGGCTGCAGGAAGTGAACTCTATGATTAACAAAAGATTGAAAGATGTCCTCTTCACAGACCAGTGGAGCGAAGTCTGCATGGAAAGACTCAGCCCCTTTGGTTACGTGCTGGTCAGTAATGATTTTTTTTGTTGTACAGTATATGCAAAGCAGCTTGGATGTGTGCACACTTTGCAACAGATTTGGTGATCATTTATACCAAGCATGCATTGTCAGCACTCTGCTATCTTCTGCTGTCTGCTAAACTGATAGCACAAAGTGCTGACTCCTGATCGCCGTTTATAGCTTTATATTCAATGTATCCATGACTACACTTATACACAGCACAATGTGCATATTATTTCCGTATATCATTTATATGTTTGTATTTCAAATAATGTAAATGGAAATATTTCTTTAAAAGATCTGTTCTATTCAGGTAGCATGTCTACTCTGTTATTAGCCATGTCTTACTTTTCAAAGGGCTATTTCAAATCCTGTGGTTTAACCTCCAATTTACTTGTCTTGTCAAAGCTTGGATCGGTTGGCGTGGCGAGCCACAGCACACGAACCAGCTGTTGAGCTGAAAGTGCAAGACAAATGTCTCCCAGGGTGCAGTTTTATTTTTGGATCGTTGTCGTTGACAGTGTTGATGGGTGTCTGACAGTGAGACTGATGCTGTCCTCCAGCTATGTCGAGGTCTGCTAGGTTTGCTTAAACCTTGTAAGGATAATCTTGATGTGACTGCTTTGGGTTCGTCCAGAGGGTATTAATACAGTGAAATGACTCACGATGTGAACGAACTGGAGTCCATCGAGCTCTCCTGTAGATGTAAAGGGAGAAACATCGTCGTCTCAATAGGAAGTTGTTCAGTCATGCATTGTGATAGCTGACAGAAACATGTCAACAAAAGACCCCCCCTGAGACTGCCTGTTCACTCAGACCAATTTTCAGGCTCAATGTATTACAACTGCAACTTCAAAGAGCCTCCTAAGATTGACTCTGCTCTACAGAAAGCTAATAGGGCACTTTCTTTAACTGCTGCTCAGCACACGGCTTCTGCTGATCAACTCCATAGTTTCTGTTTATGTGAGCTATGCTTTAAGAATCGGTTACATCCATTGATTATGTTTCAGCCCATTCCTTTCAGTTTAAGTCAATTAAAAAGACGTCTGCTCAGTGAATCCTACTTAATGAAAATTGTAGGAATATGACTTTCCTGTGGCAATTAAAGGCTGGAATGAATAAACTGTTCATTTGCTCCTCGGGTTTTGCAGGCTCCCCTGCTAACAGAACACTTCTCACTCACAGCTCATTTCTTCAGTCACGTGTTGTATCTCATCATTTCAGGCATAAAAAACTTAGCAATAAAATAAGATCTCACCAGGAAAGAGCCTCCGATACTCAAAAAACTTTGTCCACCAGACTCAAGAAGGTCAAGCAGAAATACTCTTACTGTCTGTGTCCACACAGTATCAGATGATAAAGTCGGTTATCTTTACAGTTCAGTAGAATCTGTTACGCAACAAAAGTGGTCCAAATCGCCTAGTAGTATACAAGCGGGAGTGTGTGGTCACGTGGACGTGTGTGCCTTTGTTACAGCCCCCAGGCCATTTCAGTTCGGGTGTGATTGTACTTCTTCTGAATGTGGTTGGGGGTGGGGAAGTGTAAATGACTGCACAAAATGGGTGAGGGAGGGGCGTGCACACATATCTGGAAATTGGGTTGCTTCACTTAACAAATGCACACATTAGATTCCTGCTTTCCCAAACAGTGTTTTTCATGTCAGCAGAGCAGAAAATCACGACATGCATGTCATTATTGTAGTATAACAAGATGCTAGATGTTGGGGGAATTGTAAAAAAACAAGACCATGGAGGGCCCCCGCCGCGGGCTTATCTCTGTGAAGTGGCCTGACAGCACAGTGAAGGTTGACCACAAGCTGTAGCATCCCTGATAATCTGCAGTGCTTCTCCTTAAGTAGCGGGAAGGCAAGGCCTCAGGATCATACTGGGCATGTTGGAAATGTAAGAGGGTAAAAAGGGGTTGTGTGGAAAAGGTCTGATGTATCTTATGTCCCTACAGTTACGCTGCTTTGCAAGTAAAATGTAAACTGTTCTTCCTAGAGAACCATGCAAAGTCTCTCCTCATATCTCTCCAGCCTTTTATGTTGCCGATATTCGGTCATACCTGTCTGTCCCCTCTTGTGTGTCTGTCCTTTAGGTGACATCCCAGCGGATGCAGGGGTTGTTACTGCTGGTCTTTGCTAAATACTTCCATCTGCCGTTCCTCCGTGGAGTCCAGACTGAGACCACCCGCACGGGCCTGGGGGGTTACTGGGTAAGATGGCCACTGACACCATTCTGCGATCGGCCCTGTGTTATGGAAATGTTACACAGCTGAGCTCCCATCGGTGTCACTGAAGCTGAGAGCTTTGAACATTAAAGACCTCACATAATCAGGTCTTGGAGTTTGTTAATCAAATGCTGCTTCGTCCGCGTGATAGAAGCTAAGAGAACGACTTTGGTATCCCACAGCCTCCTATAGTACTTGCAAACTCTGACGATAATAACTGAACCATACAATTATGATAACAAGCAGTTCATGTCGAAAGAGGCCGATAACATTGTGAACTACGTGTAAACAAAGGAGTGCCCTTACTGTTTATATTATTTTGCACTTTTAGTTTTAATTCTTGCCAGACTTTATTATAGGTTTTATTGGGTCTGAGCAGATGAGACAACAGTAAGATAGAATGGAATTTGCTCTCCTACTGGTGTGCTCTTCACTGTTTGCATTAAATATTGATAAGATTTAGTCTTTAATGAGGACGCTTCCTGTGACCAGAAAAAAAGATAAGCAAATTCGATGAAAGCAATTACTGTTCATAAACATTTTCCTTTTTACTGGTGACAATGCTCACTTCATACCTAGACAGTTTTTAATTGTGCCTTCAGGAACACATTAGGCATAGGCAAACACACACTGGCAATTACCACCAGTAACTGCCAACGTCTCTTTTATGATATTACAGTTTTCATTATATCGTATCTAATTAAACGTAAGGGATTTTACCTTTATTTCTGTTCTGGTTCATTTTACAGGGAAATAAGGGTGGAGTGAGTGCCCGCATGTCAGTGTTCGGTCACAGCATCTGCTTTCTTAACTGCCACCTGCCGGCTCACATGGAAAACTCTGATCAGCGCATGGAGGACTTTGAAAGCATCCTGCAGCAGCAGCAGTTTGAAGGCCAGGCCGCCACTGGGGTTCTCGACCACGAGTAAGTCAGCACACATGAAAACATGCATACGCACACTTGGGCGCTGTGGCACATAGAGTTTAATGGACGGATAACAGAAGTTAACTTGCAGCCCATCACTGGAAGAATTTCACTGTCATGAGACAAGGTAGCTGATGACTGAATGCATGAATGTGGAAGTTATTGGCAATAAAGTGTATTTTTGGTGTTACAAACTTTGTAAGACAAAGTTCTGCTAGGCCGACCTTCCTTCTAAGACCATGTAGCAGGCATCACAAGATTTTTCTTTTCTGATGAAGCATGCAGATTTTCATACTGATTTGAAGTTGATTCTGCTGGTAATTTAAATGTGGTGATTTGATTTGTTTTTGTTTACGGTAAATCAGTCTTAAAAATGACAGGGAATGATAAAACAAAAAAAGGCTGAGACTTGCAAGAAAGTAACATGTCTGCAGCTTCTCTGCAAATTGAATAACTTCAGCTTTCACTGCATCCGGATGCTTGTAGATTCATTCCACACAGGAATTCTATTAATTGATCATCAGATAACCAAATATCTGACTTAATTTTTATATCTTAGCAAATATGTTAATTCTCCGTCTTTCTCTTTTCTCCCCAGTATAGTGTTCTGGTTTGGGGATCTCAATTTTCGCATCAATGACCTGGATATGCAAGTGGTAAAATCAGCCATTGATAACAACAAGTTTTCCGTGTTGTGGGAAAAGGACCAGGTAAATATCATAAATATCATATAGTATATTTGTGAATGTAGAAGACTGTGAAAACAACTTTAGCTTCTCTGTATGGGGCCTTCTTGAAATGAGACTAGATACATGCTGAACCTAGCCGTGTCTCATATATATTCTTGGAAACTCCAAAGATTTTGACGAATTATATCTATACTTCTAAACTGTAATCAGGCTTATTTCATAAATGTCTGTTACCACTTCATTTGAATAGGAATACATGTCAGAATTGTCATTTCCATGAGTAAAAAACCTGTTAAAAAGCCAACTGGCGGATGTTACGATGTCCCTTTTCATTGTCACTGGAGGGCAACAGAGTAAACCACTGTTGATGTTTGTCAAACAGGGTGTAATTACTTCTAATTGTCATTTTGTAAACAGCTGAACATGGCCAAAGATAGTGAGACAGTGTTGGAGGGATTCCATGAGGGGCCGCTGAAATTCTCTCCGACCTACAAGTTTGATGTCGGAACGAATACATACGACACAAGGTTGGTTGTTCCTGTGCTGCTGATATAAATTCTAGGCCACTGACTTAAATAGCAGAGCCTAATTCAGAAAGAATTATTACATTGTCCTCTAAGAAAGGTCCCCGCCAGCCTGAAGGGATGATTCTCTTGCTTATCTTGCTCTAACTGCATTTCTGGCAACATCCCAGCGGGAAGAAACGCAAACCGGCATGGACTGACCGGATCCTGTGGCGCCAGAGAGCCACCGCACCTGCCGCCTCAAACGCAGGGAAGCGGGGCTCTATTTCAGGGCTGACCAGTGGAACAAAAGTGACACAGCACTTCTACCGAAGTCACATGGAATACCTCGTCAGCGACCACAAGCCAGTCTCCTCCATCTTTACCCTGCAGGTGGGAAACACAAAGGGCCATTAGACGGATGAACAATAATTTAGTTTAGGATGTGTGTCCGACCTCATTAAGAATACAATTTTCAAGATTTTGATTTAACAAATGACTTCACATCCTGTATGATTCGTATTTACACACATGCGTTACTATCATTCAAAGGTTTTTTTGTAATTTTGCAGCCCTTCCCTGTCAAATAAATCATCTGAATTGTTCTTTTATAGTTCCCATACAAGGTGGATATTCCACTGGTCACGCTCATCGTGGCCGATGAGTGGAACAGCATTGATGACGCTAAAGCAATATTCAAGCTGGCGCCCAACTATTCCCGCAGCTCTTGGGACTGGATTGGCCTGTTCAAGGTAATCTGTGTGATCAAAAACCCAACACGTAGGTGGAATTCAAAGAAACACTAACGTGCATCTCCGCTTCCGACGCAGCACTCAGTTTTTATTTTGTCGTTGCTGCGCCCATAGGTGGGTTTTAAGCACCACAAGGACTATGTGGGTTACGTGTGGGCCAAGCAGGAGGAAGCTGATTTCCAACGGCAGGAACACGAGGTAATGTGGATACATTGTCTTCTCAGAGATAATCTTTCTGCCACATTCAATAAATGTCCGGCCAACTCTTTTCCAGGTAACCTTTACGGAGGAGGAATTGCCCAAAGGCTCAGGAGACTTCATTTTGGGTTACTATAGTAACAACATGAGCACTATTGTGGGTGTAACAGAGCCATTTCAGGTAATCGTTTCACTTCAGAGCTGTGCAAGTTTAATGATCTCATCTTTCATCCTGGCACTTTTTTAAAAATCTGCATTACCATACCAACCCATTCTCCCTCAATTATCCTCAGATCCAGCTTCCCACTACAGAGCACGACAGCAGCTCTTCAGACAGCTCTGACTTCAGCTCAGAGGACGACAGCACCGTGGTCATGAAAATGAGGTCCCGCAGCCCCAGCCCGCATAAGAGCAAACGGCGCGGCCACCGCACCGGCAGCCGCCACCGTTCCGGCAGCCACAGCCGCTCTGGCAGCCCCGCGCCGGCCAAAAAAGTGGAGCCAAACCTCACCGCCAGCGCCAGCGCAGGAAGCGAGTCTGCGGGGTGTCCAGGAGAGGGCAGCAACAGGCCGCAGTGCGGCCCCGAGGAACCGGGCAAAAGCGCAGAGGATTCAGGAGTGTGATGCACCCGAGTGTCACCGTAGTCACAGGTCACATTGCCAACTGTCGTGTCTTTTGATCCATACATCCACTACGCTGTACGTCTTCTGTAGTGAGAATGTATGGTTTGATGCCATCCTTTTCAGGAACTGTCATCTGGTTAGTCCAGATGCTTTACTTGGCCTTGAGTTGTTGTATTCAGCTGTGCACTTTGTATATTTTTTTATTTTGATACCTGTCACTCCGTGTGGTGTTTCCTCTACCTTTGTCTGTTCTCAGGTGTGGGCAGTACAGGGACCTGACACCTTGTATTAGAAATTACTCAAGGATTCACACTCATGTTTAGTAAAAGAGGGACTAACTGCTCAGTATTTCTTAAAAACTATCTTCACTATTTTCAGATTGGGATTGGGATTCTTCACTAATACTAAAAGAAGAAGTTAGATACCTAGAAGAATGCAACATCATACTTGCTCACAAGTCATTCACTGTTTGCTCTTATTGTTGAATCTATTTTGATACAAATTGGCTCAATGGGATTTTGAAATAATTGCCATTTAGCTAACAATCAGAGTCATTATTACTTCTTCTTCAAGCAGAGACAGTCATCCAATTTCAAACAGGAACATTGTGTAAGTCATGTGGCTATCTCCTGCGCTGGAAACATGACAACAACATGAAAGAATATGCAGGGAGCTTTTTAAACGATCCCCCAACAGAATAACAATGTTCCTGTGCAAAAAAAGAAAACAGATAAAAACCAAAGTAGATATAGACCAGGATTCAGGGGGCTCAGACACTGCCCATGGTCGCAGCACAGCGTGCCAGTGTAGAGAGGAAATGCAACCGTCAAGGTCTTTAAATAGACCGCCATATCAGTGTCGCGTGATGTGATCTCTGTGAAAGGCAATGGCAGGTGATGCATCACAGCTGCCTTCCCAGGGCAAGTTCATTCAATATTAGCTACGTCCTGCTTGCTGGGCAAAGTACAGTGGTGCAATAACAACAGCAGCGACACCTGACCCAGTGGGATTTGCTTTTATACACACTCTGCACCCTGGCTTTACTTCAGGGGGGTTGCAGGATATTGGTTTCTCGAAGGTTTTAGATAAAAGTTTCTCATAATACAAAATCACAGAGTTGTTTTGATTGCATTTTAAATAGTGTTAAAATGCAATTCTTCGCATTGTTTTTTTTCTTTTTAGCTGAATAAAGACCTTTAAATCTGGACATTACACAGACGTGAGCATGAATTCTACTGTGTAGAGCTCCTACAGGGATTTGTATTGCCGCACGATACAAAGCCGACATGCTCCACTGTTGTGTAACATCCCTTGATGTGATGGATCAAGTAAACGAAATGCTTTGCCAAATGCAAATGCATGGGAAGCTTTACTTGTCATAAAAAACTCACTCTCTTTTTGTTCTCATTTTATGTCACAATCATTTGGCTTTCTCTCCTGCTCGGATCATCCATCAATGTTCCCAGTTATTGGCTAACAGCAGCAATAGTTCCAGTGGTGGCGTTGCGTTGTTATTGTGTGGCCTCTGAGGCACCGTCTTACAATTTGTACTTTTGGGCTGTGAACATAGACCAGTGTTGTGGCTGTAGTCTCAGTGTGTATGTCTGTAATTAGCTGTTTGTGTATGTGTTTTTCTGGAAGTGTGCACTTGTGTGTGTTTTAAATGGAGGTGCGGGGGGGCGAATACCTCTGGCAGTGAATGGGGTGTGGATGTGTCTGCATGGTTTGCCGTTTGACATACTGTACATTCCAGTACTGTGTATTTCGTGCTGTAAAGTGCTGTTTTTTAATCCTCTTTATCATATCTGTGGCTGTGAAGTTTAATAGAAACATGTGGTAAGGACAGTGTAAACTTTTAACTGCTGTGTAAACGTTAACTGAAGAAGCCGAAGAAATGCAAGGTAGCTATACTTGCATGACACAGAAATTGTTGGTATATTTATGTGCATTCATGTACTTTATCGTACTTTATTGATTTATAAATGAAAAATTATCCTTATCTTTCTTTTCATTAGGATGTTTGAAAAAAGATGGTCCTACTTCAATCATGTAGATAAGTATGTTCAGTACTGTAGTCATGACAACTGACTTTTGTGAAATGTCTGCTGAATGTTTCTGTTTAGTAGCTGTGTGGCCAAATAATAAGAGAATATATGTAAAGAGCAAATATGAATTACAGATAGAATATATAGAAGAGACAATCTATGCCACAAAGATTATTTTATTTAAATTATGTATTTATTTTCTTATTTATCTTTTAAATGATCCCTAATTCTGCTGGCCAGTGACAGAGCTTTATTTCAGTCGGAATGTCAAAATTATATGATAGAATATTGATGAATATTTCCCTTTTCTTATAGAAACTACGATGAGAAATGGTTATTTCCTCTGTTTCAAACTTGGTTAATTCAGATCAGATGTTGCTTTTATTGTCAAAAGTCTACCTTGTTTAGTCTACAGGTGTTTGTATTATTGTGATATAAATGACAAAATATACAGCAAGCCTGTTGGATGTTGATTGTTGGCTTATCAGGATGATTAATCTCTGTGAGGTCATTGGGATAGAAGGTTGTTTAGGGGTTGCTTACTCTTGATTTCATCTCTAAAACTAGTGCAACGCTGTCTAAAGAAACATATATTTAAATATACTCTTTCAAATTGTGCGTTGCCTCTTGATTTTTACCATTTGTATTGTCATTTTTTGAAGAATACGTCTGTAATGTTCAGTTACTTTAGGCTAACTATTTCAGTTCTGGAATACCTGCAGGAGGAAGTTAGATGAGTATCTACACGGGAGAGAATGAAAGAGAGGTAGATAAAAAAAACAGCTGAGTAAGAATGAACATGCATTTTTACTTACAGTCTGGGCGATGGCCCTGTAGAACAGATCATGACTCATTTGAACATGTCAAATCTCTGATTACCCAATAAGTCGACATAAAGTTTATTGGTGCTGTCACAGTCTTTAATCCTTTTTTGTTCCGTTAAATCCAAGAACAACAGGCCTCGTAACTGCCAACATTAAAGAAAGAAACACACAGCATATTATTTATCTGTTTACCGGGTTTCCTTTGAATAAAGTTAGCTGTGGTTTAAAGCCCTCTACATCCTGTAGAGGGCAACATCAGGTGCATCTTGCATCATCCTTTTTCCTCTTTGAAACAATTGTGTCCATCCTGCAAATTCATGCTGAATGTGTTGTACTGATGCAACACTGCTCCAGGGTTTAGTTGCTTGGTCCAGTGAAACTTGGACATTATGAACCTAGGTAAAGTTAAAGATCATATGTCTTTGTGTGAGTTCTCTCCTTTGAAATACTTTTTCCAATAAGGGTGCGATCGTTACATTTGATTCACTCAATAGAGAAAGATGTTTAAGCAATATGCCCAGTTAAGATTTCCTCTATGAAGTGGTTTGCTTCCAAATCAAATGAGTTACCTCAGCTGTTGCATATATCTCAGAAACTGTGGAAAAACATTCAGAACAAAACACAACCCTAAGCTATATGTAATGTTCCCAAACTGGCAAATGGCCATCTTAATTTGTTTTCACAAATTCAGATAATTTTGTTTGAGCTGTAAAAGCATAGTCAACAAACCATTGTGAAGAAATTAATTTAAACCTTCTCTAGCCATAAATTGAACAACATGTACACAATCTGATCTTTTGATCATATTATACAACATGGCCTCAGGTATGAGAGTAATATTCGGGCTTTCTTAGCCTAATGTAATCAAATTATGTTGAGAAACAATATCTACACCATCCGCTCATTACTCTCTTTTTGCTGCAACTGCATGTCCAGGTTTGTTTTGGCTGTGTCACAAAAAAAAGTCACATTTTATGATGTTCTTGGTACAACTAAAGCAATATATCCGGTTAATTATCAAAGTGCTGGTTTATCTCAATTATTTATCTTGACGTCAAGGAAACGCCTGATGGACCTATTATGGGTCAATTTCTGGTAATAATTTTTGTTTAAAAAAATCTATTTGCCAAGAAAAATAGAATGAATTGTTTTTATGGTATACCACCCACTTAAACAGGAGGATTATAGCATAGTCCAAAAAAGGCCAAAGTTAAAACACATGAAGCAAACATGTCTATTAAGAATACTTATTTCAGACCTTTTTCTTCTTTTTTTAAAAACTGTTGACTTTGTATTTAAGTTATTTAGGTTGAAAGGTTGACATTGATTTCTAGGCTGATTAAATTAAGAATAACCTTGGTACTTGAGCATTGTAAGGGCTTCTGTCCTAATACAAAGACAACATAATGTGGAAATACTAGAAAAGAAGGCAGGTAAAAAGCAACATATCCTGAATGACCTGAGGTAGTATGGCAACAACAAATGTATCCGTAAAAAAAATCTAATTAACTAAGATCTAGTGATTTATCGGGGTCTCAGAAAAAAAAGACTATCGACCCTGGATATTCCATGAAAAATGGGAAAACAATGTCCAGCTGTCTATTGATTCTGTTTATTTTCTTCTCGTTTCGCAATCTTCCCCTCACAATGGTCTGGAGGTATTTACCAGGTAAACACATAGACATATAGTTGTCTATAGGTAAAACATGGGTAGAACTTGCACCCTGTCGTTTCTTTGTAACGCTCTCGGGGCACGTGATCTCGGTCCGTTTGGGATTCGGTAATACTCTCTTGGTTACAGTCGGTGTTGTCGACGATAGGCTAGACGGTGTGTCCCGCCCCCTCGTTACGTCACGACGTCTGACTACACAGGATAAAGAGCCGAGCTCTGCGCCAAAGCGCTCGATACAGCAAGCTCGTAGTCATCATTTGGCGGAGCAAGAAATCCAGCATACGAGGCGCAGCCTTAAAAACGAAAAATATCAATTTAGCCTGGGTTTATTGTGACAACAGCCATCCGTCAACAATGATGAACGGACAGATGAATGGTTTTCATAACTCCCTCATCGACGAAGACTGCTTCTTGTTCACCTCGGAGTCGGTCGGAGAAGGACACCCCGGTAAGACCCGACATGCCGGCCTTTTTATTCCTCCGGACTGTCTCGCGAAACAAATAACGTTTAGGACCTGGTCTTTTAAGCCGTCATTTGCCTCTTAATAAAATAAGTGACATTTTTTACCATATTAAAATAAATGTGGTTTTAAACATTAGTATTTGAGCGTTACAGCCTTTACTCTAATTTGAATATTTCTGGGCCAGTCTCCTGAGCACGCGCTACTAGCTAGAGTTAGCTAATGCTGCGGGATCTTCTGATTATTGACGTACCACGTGGGGCAGAGTGTCCGCTAACGTTCGCGGACACGTACAATACACTGTGGGGATTTGGTTTTGAGACTGTTGGATGCGTTTAAGTGTGGTCATTAGATAATATCATGGACGGCTTCCGGTCCGTGTCTAGTTGCGCGCGCTCGCCTCTTCACACGTGTATTTGCTGAAATGGCGACTGTTGGGACCTGCAGGCAATTGGTGGCGTCGATGTTCCAGCTTTTGTTTGGGGCGGTGATGGGGGGGGTTTGTTTTTGTACAGTATTTAACTTACCTTCTATTTGAACACGCTTGCAGACAAGATTTGTGATCAGATTAGTGATGCAGTCCTTGACGCCCATCTTAAGCAGGATCCTGATGCTAAAGTTGCTTGTGGTAAGTACGCCCTTTTTTGTGTTTTCTTCACTGGTAACACGAGACATTGACATAGACATTTCATCGGTTAACTGTTAATAATACTTGTAAATACAGAAACTGTTGCCAAGACTGGGATGATCCTGTTGGCTGGTGAAGTGACATCCCGTGCCACAGTGGACTACCAGAGAGTTGTGCGGGACACCATCCGTCAGATTGGCTATGATGACTCATCCAAAGGTGCAACATTTGTTTTATTTGTTAGTATAAATGGTGTCTTTGCTGTGTAAATCTTAAACTGCAACTTATTTTTGCGCAGGCTTTGACTACAAGACCTGTAATGTCCTTGTGGCCTTGGAGCAGCAGTCTCCTGACATTGCCCAAGGTGTCCATATTGACCGCAATGAGGAGGACGTCGGAGCTGGGGATCAGGTCAGTAGTGGCTGTGTTTTGCTTGATGTCAGAACAACTTTTTTTCCCAGAGCATTAACAATCTTGTTTTGTAGGGCTTGATGTTTGGATATGCAACAGATGAGACTGAGGAGTGCATGCCTCTCACAGTTGTCCTTGCCCACAAACTGAATGCTAAAATGGCTGAACTGCGACGCAATGGCACCCTTCCTTGGCTTCGACCAGACTCAAAGACACAAGTAAAAGACCCACTTTTAAAAAAATATATATTTTTTTAGTTTTAACATGATTTTTTTTTGTATAGAGTGGAATGTTAAGCTGTCTATTTATTTTTACAGGTTACTGTACAGTACCGCCAGGACCGTGGTGCCATGCTCCCTGTGCGAGTTCACACCATCGTCATCTCTGTTCAGCATGATGAGGATATTTGCTTGGAGGAAATGAGGGATGCCCTGAAGGAGAAAGTGATTAAGAGTGTTGTTCCATGCATCTACTTGGATGATGACACCATCTATCACCTTCAACCCAGTGGTCGATTCGTGATTGGAGGCCCACAGGTTAATATCAGTATTGGACCTAAAGGAATGTACCAGGTCCCTGCTCCCCCATGTTACTGACCGTTTCTCATTGCAGGGAGATGCTGGCCTCACTGGGCGTAAAATCATTGTCGACACCTATGGAGGCTGGGGAGCCCATGGTGGTGGAGCTTTCTCTGGGAAAGATTACACTAAGGTGGACCGCTCTGCTGCTTACGCAGCACGCTGGGTGGCCAAGTCTCTGGTGAAGGCTGAGCTCTGCAGGAGGGTGCTGGTCCAGGTGAGGAATTTTGTTTGCTTAAACTAGTGTTTTGTTTTTTTCCTGAAAGTGAGGGTCTGTTACACCTCCCCATTTTTAATTATTTTTTTTGTTGACATGTGTTTGTTCCATCTTAGGTGTCCTATGCCATTGGAGTTGCCCATCCTCTTTCCATTTCCATCTTCCACTATGGGACCTCAAACAAGAGTGAGAGGGAGTTACTTGACATTGTGAGGAAGAACTTTGACCTAAGACCTGGAGTCATTGTCAGGTAATGTGTAACCTCTGCCACTCGGAGCTAGGTCCTTCATGTATCAAGAGCCATGTCTTGATTGAATTGATCTGCCCAGGATTCAGATGGCTTATTCCATCAACTTTCAAACTATAGAACGCTTTTTGACGCGTTTTAGTTGAGGTTGACTACAGGTCACCAATTCGTTTTCCATGTTAAACGGAATGCGGGTCTGGAGGAAATTCTCTTCCTTTTGGTCGAGTGTTTTTCATAAAGGGAGGGGCATACAGCTGGTAGAGGAATGTTTTTGTTAGTTGGATGAGAATGTTTCCATCTGCACGCTGCAGTGTCCTGTTGGCTGGTAGGGTAAGTGTTGAAGCTTCACCTCTCCCTCTTCACCAGCCATTTTCCTTACAGTCACCTGCGACGCCTCTGATCGACTTCTGTGAACAGTGAATTTGTTTGAGGCTATTGGGTGTGAATGCTGCTAAACATATTGATTATGTATTCCAGGGAGCTGGATCTGAAGAAGCCCTTCTATCAGAGGACTGCTGCCTACGGCCACTTTGGCCGAGACTCCTTCCCATGGGAGGTGCCCAAAAAACTTAAGTACTAAATCTGTTAAGCTTTTCCCCCCAGGCTTGTTGGTGTATACTACAGAGAAGCCTCCAAGGTTCCAGGGGTGAAATGCACTTCTTTTCCTCTCAATGATATGACACATGAGTCCCTTCCTACTTCCATTCTCCCTCTGTCCTGTTACTGTTTTCTGCTGGTTGCACTGTTGTGCTGGGTCCTAAGAGGCATGCCTCAGAAACTTGATGTTTTAAAGAATTAGGTGGGTTCCAAGAACTCGTGCATCGTAGTACTTCATGTTCTCTTGACCTGAGGTTGCCTTGCTTCTCGTGGTGGTAGTCGCTCAGTAGGTTCGTCCGGTTCTCATTTCGGCACTCCACTTATTCTCAGTCTTTGACTTGGCGTCATAGTGGTACATGTTTGTTAGTCTGAGATGCCCCTCTTCCCTCTTAATTTACTGGTGCTACAGGCAAGATTTGAGGCCATCGCAACCATAGCGAATCATATAATTTGGTAATTGGAATTTAATTTTTTTTTATTGGGCACTGTTCCAGAATTCAGCTTTGTTCTAAACATTCCTCACTAGTCTGTCTGGTAGGGGTTCTGTGGCTCAGTGTATCGCTTCTATCCATCTCTTATTTTGTATTCTCTTTCCCTGTTGTCGTTGGTTGTGGAGGATGCTAGAATGGCACAATTCATGAGTTATTATCAATAATGATGCTATGCATTGCAGGCTAAGGGGCAAGCCAAATTCTAGAAGCTCAAATGAGCATGAGGCCTGCGACGCCCCTACAGACCTTTGCAGATTTCTGACGTAATACAGAAAAGTCAGAAGCTGCTATGTCACTGCTCGGGTCTGCAGTGGTATCGAATATACTTGATGCGATGAGAAAACTTATGCATTGAAATAAAATTTTAAACTTATTTTATTTTTGGATTACATTGTTTCCCTTGCTTTTTTAAAGGTTTTGAAATGACTCGACCCATGTGCTCCTTAAGCTTATTGATGGCAGGTGTAGCTACAGAGAAACCTGTTTCCCATCTTTATCTTAACGGAGTTTGCTCTTGGCCACATTCGTATGGGTTAGGATCGCACCTCAACACTATTTATTTGTTCTCTGAAACTTGGCGTGGATACAGAGAAGCCGAAGTTTTCAGAAGGCAGCTTTAAACACGTGGTTATTGAACCTTGAATTCCTCTTTGACTTGATCGTTTTTAGTGTTTGGCTTGAGGCTCCAGAGTGTTATACAGAAAAGCTTTGGAATGACTCAAAACGTCCCTGGCATCTGTAAAGGAATGTTTTGCAACTTTTTTAAAAAGAAAAACTTTTTTTTTTTTTTAATTTTTGAAAAGCAGACATTGACTTTTTAAGATGGGTTAGTTTTGAAATCCCATCTAAGATGCCTTGTGCAGTTGTTTGGCTCTCGTCTATCCCAGTTGATGTGATGGTGATATTTGGCTGGTGTGGTACAGAGAAACCAGCCTTGTTTACACAGCCGTCCCATGAGTGGGGTAGTCTAAAAGTTTGGGTTTGTTCCCTTTGACCTTCCATAGGGTCACCTGGTTGACGGTTAGCGTGAGAGTGCCTTTTCTATTTCCTTTACTTCTATTTGCTTTTACCACCCCTCAAAAACATGCGTTAAACTTCCAGAGGAACACGTAGCTCAGTGTAACATGCTTCATGTCTAGACCCGTAGTTTCCCGATGTTCTGTAATAAACTACTCACCCCAATGCTTTTGTCTCATTGTCTCTTCTTATATATTCTACACAATGGTGTGGGAGTTATCATGTGGTTATTTCACTGTGAATGGTTAACTGGAAGAATGTGTTACTCCTTTTTGGTTGAATACCATAATTTAGGACTGGAGAACTTGTACAGAGAAGAACACTTTAGCACTAAATAAAGATATTTGTACATCAGTAGGGCAACATCAACACTGTGAAGCTAATCTTGGGATTTCCACTAATGTCAACCAACTCTGACCAGGTCAGCTGTGTGCTCATTAGCAGCTGTCTCCTGAAATAAAAGCAAATGTCCAATCGGATCCCATATTGGTGCACCAGTAGAGCGGGGGAAAACTGTTGTGTAAAAGCACAAAATGAATATAAATGGCTTGGTAAATGTGTTCTGTTGATTTACCCGCACTATTCCAATCATTTAACCTCGAGGTAAAGAGCCGCCGTCACCAGTGGAGTTAAATGTAGTCGGTGGGGGAAATCGCGCTAAGTGAGAGTCAAGGGATCAGCAATGAAAGGTCAGAGTAAAATGTGCATCAAAGCCACACAGAATTTGGTCAAGCAGCAACACGTGGGAGCAAAAAAGCTGACTGAAGCAATAAAGGATAATGCTGAAACTGAATCAGAGTTTGAATGCCCCGACAGATCATATTCTGCACGTTACTGGGATATCTTTCATCAGCATGAAAGTTCAGCTCAAAGTTTAAAAAGAAGTTGTCATGACTTGTCTGAGGTCAAATATCTTAAACTATATACAATATGGTCAAGGATAGCAAACAAAGATTTGTTCAATCAATCGATGGCAGCAGATAAATATTTGCAGTTTGACCTGATGGACCACAAGACCAGACTGACCTCTGGGGTCAATTGATCTGCTGAATTTCTACAGACTTGGGTATATTGTTAGAGAATGGAGACAAACTCTCCTTCAGTTCTTGTAATTCAATCTATTAATGAACAAAACAACTTATCTGAATGTTGTCCAGAGCAATATTCATGACATGTATGAACAAATCCCTGTCTCTGTAAAGGAGAATAAGCTTCATCCCAGCACGGCCGGGTTCATCTGAATTAACTCAAAACCTGAAATAAAAATAGAAAAGAACTTTGAAGCGGTTCAGTTTTCAATAAAAAAAGATTATTGCCCCATACTTTGCACACTATGCCATTTGAGAAGAGTTGCTTAGCAGCACACATCTGAAACAGAGGAGAGATGACGTCTGTTGGTGTCAGGAAGTGTAGAAAAAATGTACTTTTCAGGTTCAGAAGGTGACAACAGGAATGTCAATCATTCATTCCTGCTGTGAGAAAGTTTCTTGAATCTGTGCTTTGGCAAGTTTCTGCTGGAAGCGCTGGTCAGTGCCTTAAGCAGAAACAGAGATAATTACCTTTCTGGGTAATTATCCACACAGAATGTTAAAAGCATTTGACTAAAAAACATATTTCAACTTTGAGGCGCCTGAATCGCTTCAAGGTTCCAGTTTTTCAACAAGACTTGACATACGTAGGAAGGACCGCCTGGTTACACTACTATTATACAACTTTTTGAATAGAAAACGGACAATTTTAGGAGAGTTAAACAACTGAGTAAGCATTTGTTTTTGTGCAAGGTTTTTTCAAATTTGACCAATTTCATTTTCTCAAAATGTCCCTTAGATGAATAATGTGTTTCTCCTTTGAGCTTAAACTTTGTCATTGTGACACATGAATGTTGTACATTATTGTGGGTTTATAACAGCGTTCTTACAGCACCAGAGATAAGACGTGGTTTCTATTGTCTGAATATTCAAATTAATTTTTTAACATAGCTGTATGTTTGCATATGCTTGATCAGCATGAACAGCATAAATGCTTTGAAAGTTGGAATGCAAATCTTTCAGGACTACATAAATGTTCTGTAGACACAGCGCTGATTAACTTCTGACCTCCGGCTTTGGAAGGGCTTATTTGGCTTCTGATCAGTTTGGACTTCTTCAACCCAGAAATCTGACCCTGCGCATCACTGCATGTACAGCGTGCTGATCCCTGGGTGGGATTCAACTCACACCGACAAATACCCCCCAGACCAGCCACGGCAGCTGTCCTCTGCCAGGGTCCCACCGGCTCAGCCAAAGGTTTATATTTAGCTGAAACGTAACACGACCACGGCCATGAATGGGCAAGATAACCCACTACTACAACAGTGTAGTAACACTGACACGCTGAACTGCCCTCAGACGTGATGATAAAGGCCATGCGATAGTACCTGAGTATTGCATCATAAAGCTAAGATAAGAACTGGCATACAGTATGATTTGGTTCTTTGGGACATCAAAACATGACACAAATTTTCCCAAAACACCACTAAACACCACCTGTGCTCACAGCAGACTTTAGACCAAACATAGAAACCAAGACACGATAGTGAGAGTGAATATTGATGTAGACTGGAAGACAGGAACCCGCTGTACCTTTAATGGGTTTTTTTTTTACACACAGTGCAGAAGTTACAGTGAGAAGGGCAGAAGCAGGACCACATTCAGCTGATGTCAGGGGGGACTTATTGGAGGGATTAGGTGACAGCTGATGCAACGGGGGTTCAGGCTTGCAGCTGCCCTACTGTACTGTTGCAGGCAGCCAAAAGTCCACTCAAAATGTCCTCCGTTGGTGGTTTTCCTGCGATTATGACTGTGTTGTCACTTTGTACTTGTAATGTTAGTTAATGTACTCACACTGGTTTTGGTTCGGAGGGAATGTTGCTGAAAAATCTGAAACTCTAAAACCCAACTTTTAGGGTACCGAGTTCGAATATTGGATATTTTTGTTCTAGCTTTCCTGCACTGAGTGTACCATGTGATATGGTTGTGTTGAGTCACAACATGTCAGCGATATTCTGAATGTTGGTCACAGAGGCTTAGCTGATTACACATGCACCTTTGAACCATTTTGTGTCAACTCCAAAGTTATGCAATAGTGTTTTGTTGATTCTATGGTTCCAACATGTTTGCTTGCGTTTTATTAAAGTGATCGTTAGTTGGTGATTCCACGGGATTCTACATAGGACAAAACCTGCAAAAACAAGCCCAACATAATCCTCTGATTAAGTCAGAGCCAAATACATCCTTTATCTCACACTTTCTTCTTCTTCACCCAAAAAAATGTTTCATGTTGGTTTGCCTGATGGCCTCACTGTCTTAGAATTGAATTCAGAGCCTTGTAAAACCCAATAGATCTCAGAATGACTCTTTAGGTTTTTGGTGTAGTTTGTTCTGAGCCTTTAAGTAATAGTTAGACACTAGGTAAGAATTGATTTTATAACCCATTTGTACTATCAGTGCATGTGCTGCTACATAAATGAATTAAAAAATCCAGATGAAATCTTCTTTTCGGTTTGTTCTAACTTAATGAACTACACGATAGTTATACTAAATCATGGCGTTACCTTTACAGAGAGACTAAACTTTTGCATTTTGAACTTTTCAAATGAATTTGCACATGCCTTTTACAGGTGTTTCACTCATTTTTGGGAGACTCTGAAGCGGTTTAAAAGCCTCTGAGTCACATGTCATGCTCATGCCTGAGGCATGTCCTATTTGTTGGCATGTGTGAAGATGTAAGCTGTGATAGGGGCATTTTCAGCACTTTGAAAATTGAGCAAACTGGTGAGCAGGTGAGATTGAAACATGTGAATTTACCTCTGCTCTCATAACTTCATACACGTGCTGGATAAAGACAGAAAAAAGGGAGCTGGTGGGGGAGTGTTTACAAACTGACGAGGAGGGTTTTTCTGGACCAATAGCGTTGCAGAGTCCTCCTCTCCCTGTCAAAGTTTTGCATAACTCTTGGCACACTATTTGGCACTTGGATGGAGTCTGCATAGTTTCAAGTTCTAATCAAAACAATGAGTTAATCTCATGTCAGGGTGTCAAAAAAAACTTTGTTTTAGTCCAAAAGAATAATTCATATTGCTTTTCACCTTTTAAAAGGAGTACAGCCCTTTTCCCCTGACAGTGTAGGTCATTCACAGCTGTACATTTTTGCAAAGTGCATGTTCGAAGAAACAAATCTTTGTCACAAATCCCGAGATTGCCTTTCGGCGCCATATTCCCCAGCATAACTGGTTCTAGCATGGGCTTGCCACAGGCGGTTATGAAGCAATCACCGAAACGATGGGAACAGGGAAAGAATTTGTAAGCCCCTGAAGCTTTTAATGTCGGATTATTATTTTTTCTTTTGCTATTCAAAATTAAATCAATGATTAATCTATATTTACTTTACAACACACTTATAGTTAAGCGTAGATTAAATATTTAGGCTAAACAACATGTAACTGATGTTAATCATTTTTGTTTACCATTGCAGCTCATTACCGGAAGAATTATTAAAAAAACATGACATCTTTAGGTTGTTAACATTTTCACTGTTGTCATGTCGAAAATTAATTTTTCTAAGACTCAACCAGGCTGGCAAAGAAGGCTGCTGAGTGCATGTAACTAAAGCAGGAAGATAAAAAGAAGTTTGCTGCTGCCACCTGCTGAGGATATGATGTGAAACACTTGGGTCTACTATCTGTCTGTGAGTACAATAGATACATATATATATCCATCCATCCATCCATCCATCCATCCATCCATCCATCCATCCATC